AGTCCTTCGACAACCAGGACAAAAATCGGAAACCTCATCGGAGAAAGCTCAGTAAGTTCATCGTTAATCATCGTTATACTGTCCCATCCATTCACACTATTTTGGAAGATGAAAACCCGTTTCCAAAATTAGCTGACTTGTCGGCGGAGGTAAAGGGAGTTTGCCAGACGGAAGTAGATAGGGTAGTTTCAGACACAGAACTACTACTTTCAGTAGAAGTACAATCAAAAAGATTAGAAAACGCTTTATCTCCCGCCAATTTGTGATGAAGTAGAGTTATAAATACGAATACTGACCGATAAGAGCTACCGTCTTCTGGCAGTGGTGGTTCCTCCATGTCATACTTCTTCGAAAAGACCCGCAGCATAAGGGAATGGAAGACCTCCAACTGCAACTCTGTCACCCACTCACAAGCCCAATAGGACATCTCGTGAAACTTGACAAAGAACTCCCTAGTGGGTTTCTTTCTCCCTGACGAATGAGGTGCCGTTACCGCAACAGCACCAGCACACGTTGACGACTGTTCCCCTTCTCCTGTCTGTGAATCAGAAGCAGTAAGAGGAGTCGAAGGGTGAGGACCATCTTTTTCACTTCTGTCATTCTCAATTTCCTTTCTTTCCACATCCTCCATCACAGAAATAACAGTTTTAGGGGGTTCACGCCACCTCCAGAAGAGAATCTTCGAGACTCGACCCTTGAGTGGCTTACACCCACAGCGAGGACACAACCATACACCCTCTGGAATTTGCGAGAGTGGTGGATCTAGACAGCCTAGATGATAGCTAGCAGGGCAATTCTCACAGCAGATGAGGTCGCCGCCATCACGACACTCAGAGCAGTACTCCTGGTGCTCGTCGCGTTCACCCTCTTCTTCAGCACCACCTGCTGCGGATGCCTTGCGGGATACGTGGACAGGACCCTCGCTGGCCGTAGAGGCACCTTCGTCTGGAGCGGCGGGAGGATCGGTAATGCTACGATGCGCTGCAGTGATGCCCTGCTTCTCGCAATGTGGACAAGACCATACACCTTCAGGAACCTCCTCTAGCTCAGGATCAAGGCAGACCAGGTGGTAGGCACGAGGACAGGTGTCACAGAGCATAATATTCCCACCCTGCAGAAAAGCAAAAGATCCGTAGTTGGTCGGTGTACCCGATAATATCTTGAGTTAAATATGATCAAGCTGTCCATTGGACCAGACGGCGACTACAAGGAACAATAACACAAAATGCGAGATAAGTAGTAAACAGTAATGTCAGTTAAGACCAACCATAATGACAGTTAGAGGGCATGCACCCAGAGGGTTTCTAGAGAGTTGGGCTTGATAGAATTGTTGAGTACAAGCGAGAAGTAAAACTGTGCGCCATGCAAAAGTAGATTACCACCATATCCCGTCAATGCATTCTTTAGCCAGAAAATATCAGTCTTAATTGAGTCTCGACTAGTGATAGCAGATATCAGCCATGGAATTGATCCATCAAAATCAAAAGACGCAAGTATTTTACTGAAAACAGCCTTGCCCCAATTATTTCAATGCTAGACACCGATAATGAGATAACCAAAGGCGCCTTCAAAGGCCTCTTTATGGTTCTTTAAAGTTCGTGTGGGTAGCTCAGCTGTCTCATGTTTCGGTATTGCCACAATAATGACGTGGATGTTACCTTTACCCCCATCACTCACGGTTTCCGCCCACATCATATCTATCATGTACCTGCTGCCTGAGGAAATACAACCATAAAACAAAATCTG